GTGGTAAATAGGTCACCCAGAAATACATTTTCCTCTTGTTCCTAGATACTTTGTATATCAAAGCGTAGGAAAAAAGAAAACAGAAGCTACCTAAAAAATAGCCTTGAATCCGTGTTACGACATGTTAGTGAAGTTGTTGGCATTTCCTCTCTCTTTTTGTGAATTTCTACCACCTCCCATAAATAATAAACAGCACCTTTTCAGCATCTCAGCATTTTGTAAAGGACAGAGATGAGTCTGTGTTGTATTCTGGATTATATTATGGTTCTTGAAAATTCCTGGTAGTGAAATTTTTTTGAAAAGCTGGAAAAATTGAGTCAGCAAGGAAAAGGAGATAAAAGTTGTTGAACAAAAGAAAAAACATGATTGCAGTAGTAAGTATCTTTCAGACTGATAATTTATTTCTTAGATACTAATTAGTTTTCAATTAGACCACAGAGTATGAGCTCATTTTTCACAATGAAGAAAATAAAAATACTTTTGGAAGTGAATAGTCAACAAGTTACCTGTAGAAGTGAAAGGCTTGACCACCTTCTGGTTTCCAGAGTTGAACAATGTCATTCTGAAATCAACGTGAGCTGGCTGTACTTGGTGCATTTCTTCCTGCAGCCTGTTTTGGGTCTCAGTTTGATGCCCATTGAAACTTGGGGATTTTTTTAGTGATATGATGGAATTTGAATTAAACCTTAAATGCTTATAGAAGACTGCATTGTGCGTGTATATGTAAATTAATGTGTAAGGTTACCAGATGTTTCCAGAGTGCACATTTTACAAATAGCATGTCATGCTTTCAGCAGTTGATTTGATCATGAAGGAAAAAAGTCAATGATAAATAAAGAAGTTACAAATGTATAATATGCAATCCATAAGAAGCCTCAAACTTAATATGTCACATTCTAATACCAAATGTTTCTGTATCATTTGAGGACAGAAGATACAATGATTTTTTACTGTCTCTTCTCACCAAGCACAGAAAGAGACAGTAAAGGTCCTGTTCAGAAGCTGGAGAATGAACATAGGGATAACGTCTCAGCCCTTTATGAAGCTGTGATTTGAAACCTCAAAATTCCACTGTTTTCCCTTTTTGCTTCATTCAGCAGGTTTTGGGAAAATTTTTTATTTTTTTTTTTTTTTTTTTTTACCCCTTTTTTCCCCCAAAACCCTTTTTTTTTTTTTTTTTTTTTTTTTAAAGTTAGGGCACATATGTGTAGTGGTTTTGAAATGGGATTTTATGCATGGTGGGAGACTCATTCTGTCAGTAGTTCCTCAGAAGGCAGGGTAGTTTTAACTTAGTTCTGTGTAAGACTCAATAGGACTGAAGACTTTTTAAGTATATTTAGCCCAGTGAAAGACTTAACCATGTTGGTTTCACTTTGAACAGATCACAAAGTAAATGTTACAATGATAACAGAAAAAAAAAAAAAAAGAAAACTGGAGTTTAATATTTTCTCATTAATTCCATAGTAGCAGTTTCCCATGGAGCATGTGGGGAATACAATATAAAAATAACAATATGTTAAAAGAAAATGTTTAAGGGAGAAAAGGAAGGCGTTAACATATACTCAGTTCCTTTTCTTCTCATTCTTTTCATCAAAGGGAATGAAATACTTTATACTCTTACCCGTAAGGCTAGTTCAAATTCAAAGTGCTAAAATGTGTGGTTTAGTCCCTGTGTCTGCAGATGTTTTCACTGAGATTAAAGGCCTAACCAGACCCGTCCAGAACCAGCAAACAGAAGAATTTTCTGATAAAATGTGAAAGAATTTGAGGCTATAGTTACCCATTTTAAAGATTATGAAAAATTTATTTTCATTCTTTCTTTATAGAACAATAGATGGTAGTGTTTAATTTGCAGATGAGTTCCATGTGTATAAATTGTGCCTTCGTTAGTCTCATCCTTCATTCTGTTTTAGAGTTGATACAGTAGTGTCATAAGTGGTCAAGGATATTTGCTTGATAAGCACTCCTTGTGCATATGTATTATCTTCACAAGTTTAATTTCAAAACTGATTTTAATCTTTTATCCTTCCAGACTTCTTGGTTATCACTAATAGCAATAACACTTACGGATATCCCTGTTAGTTACTTAAATATTTCATCCAGAGATTTACAGTATATAGGTTGGAGAAGGCCTGTACATACCAAGGGCCTAACTAACACTCTTTTATTCTATTCTTAAATTTCATGTAGGAAGATAAGGTAATGAGGTGCTGCAATGATTTTATTATGTCTTCCTTAAGTGATTAATTTTTCTTTTTCTAGATTCACAGAGTGAAATATAAATTAGTATGCTTTACTACTTTACTTTTTAAAGTATCTAGTTCATTCCAAAATGAAAACTGTCCTATTTTAGTATGACCTTTGAGAGATCTCATAGCAGCAGTATTGATCAGTGACACAAGTTTTAGAAATAATGCAGAGAAGCAGCTAGAATCTCAGCTGAAGTCTGTATAAATCTCATCTGTCTCATTCAGTGGGAGTGATGCTGATGTTGCAATACTTATGCAAAATGGGAAGAACTTGGCTGCTTTCATATCTCTAAATTTAGTGTGGGGGTGGGCCAGAACAGTGAACAGTTTATATCATCTCTGTGCAGCAAACTTAATAAATCCATGTTGTATGTGAACCTCTGTAAACCTTTCGTCATCCATTAAAAATGTTGCTGTGTTATTGACAATGTCAGTAGCAAGAAACACTGGAGGAAGACCTAGTAAACTTATTTCCTGTAACATTAAAGCCACTGTAATTATGGGTCATTTGCCTGGCTTCTTTGATAATTAAGAGTTTTAATTGCTTCTAGTTCCAGGGAATTAGTTAAGCTTTTCACTATGCATATTGCCTTCCATAATCATCCTGTCCTCTCATACAGTAAGCTTAGTGACATCGTGGAAGTCAATTAGGTCTTTCAAGGCAGAGCAGTGAAGTACATTTCTTTGAATGGCTAGATTAGAAGAGGTTTCTGAAAGGCCTTGATAACGCTGTTCTGTGCAACATTTAAGCTTACTCTTGAAAGGGCAAAGCCTGTCAGGCTTTCATTTTCTGCTCTCAGAGTCCTCAGAGTGCTTAGGGTCACAAACTAAGGTATTGTTAAGAACAAAACCTACAGGCAGAGCTGAACTTCCGTTCTAAAAGTAATTGTTCCAAGCTTTGCAGGATCAGCTTGTTATATATTTGTAGTTAGTAATAGTGATATAGTGATAATGATCAACATTTGAAAATACCACATTGTTCAAACTGTAATTCAGTGACTGTGTAAAGGGAATGAGCACAAAAGAGATTGGTGTGACTCTGTTGGCTCACTAAAAATTGTTAATTAAGTTTTACTTTATTGCATTCACGATAGAAAGCACCTCTTACTTTCTCTTGGCAGACTTAAGTCATTGCTGACATGTTGACAGTCAAGAATCGGTGTTTTAAAAAGAAAGAGTTCATTCCATCTTCCTTTTCCACAGTCTGTGATGCAGATGGGTATATATAGTGCAGACATTTAATACATCTTGCAAAAATGTTTTCTTTGAACATAATAAAGTTTTTGCAGGTTACAACTTGATTCTCTTAGAGCACAGCCAGGACAGACAAACATTGTGCATTCCTAATCTTCCTTGGTGAAATAGTTGTGTGTTAGAGAGCCTATAAGATGCAGTGTGCTGTTGTATGTTCTCCCAGTGTGCGATATCTGGATTCAGTCAAAAGTTGAACTAAGTTGAAAAAATCGTTACTCTTACCCATTTGGTATTAGTTGCCACAGGCTATTGTGAAGAAAAGGATAAGAAAATCCACCCTGGGTATGCAGGAAGGGATTCGGTGGATCGATAATGACTGTAGAGAAGGGCTTAATGCATGAGAGAGAAATTTGTGATAATGCAGAGCTGCACTGTCTGAAGGGTGTGGGGAAAATTGCACTAACCATCCCAATGTCTGTATTGTATTACTGAAATTATTTGTCGCACTAATTTTTAAATTAGTAGTAGTAGCAGCAGCACTAATAATTTTGATAATAAATGCAGTCTGCATTGTAGGAGTGTTAGGGACCACTCCTACAGTGTGGGTCTGAATTTTTGAGAAGGTTGGATGCCAAAGGTTGCTTTGGATTATCCATGACCGAAAATTCAAACTCAAAACTGGGTATTGTCAAGAAGAGATGCTTCATTGTATATATTCTGGAATCAACTCCAGGAGCATTTTCTTTTATTATATAGAAGTTCAGACTAGGTGATTTGTTATTTACTTATCTGTGTTATATATTTATTATTCAATATTCTGATATTAAACTACAAAATTCACATAAACAATGTTTTGATTATTTTTAGCAACTTTGCTTTATTGATTGTGAATGATTGAATCTTGAATGATTGTGACTGTTGTAAAACATGGAACTTTCACCTGACTAAACTGTCTCTTCTCTAAAAGTTACCTAAACAAAATTGGTGATTTTTGTTTTCATTTTTGTTTTGGAAGAATTAAGCAAATTGAATATGAACTCCACAGCACTCTTCTGGCAAGTGACTCCTGTTTTACCTCCACCCATCCAAAGTCCTAATATTGACCTAGGTAGTATAGACTTTCCCCTCTTCTGTAAGTAGGAAATACCACACCTAATAAGTGAAAATACTGTTTTGTCATGCTACAGGTTATAAAGTTGATCTTGAAGAGTTAAAATAACTGCTTATAAAGGTATTTAAGCACTTGCTTAACTTTAAGCTTGTGCTTAAACCCATCCTTATAAAACAAATAACTTAGGAACATCTGGATAACCAGTTGCTGGGATTTAAGTATGTGTGTTGATGTTTTTTTGAATAGAAAGGAATTTAAGGTTAATTACCATGTAGATGTTCAAATTGAGAGTTTTGCCTTTATTCTAATTCAGGGTGTCTAAGCCAGGAATTGAATAGCTTTCCTACTACATTTTATTTGGGATCATTCTCTCTTTTAAAACAAAAGATTAGTAGTTCATAGTAACATTTTTCTTTAATATTTTCCCCTCACCTCTTGTTTCTCAGTGCCTTGTGTTTGAAGACTCACCACTTGGAGTCAAAGGATGAATGCAAGTGGTTATGATTCCAGATGAAAAATTAAATCCAGATCTTAAAAAGGAGGCAACACTACTGCTGAACTCCATGGAAGATTTCAAACCAGAACTGTTTGGTTTACCAGCATATGATTAATGCCTAATGTCTATGAACATGCACTTGGCTGGACATCAGGAAAGTGCAATGAAATTTTCTTATGATTTTGTGGTTATTTTGCATTTTTCCTCTCTTCCTCAAAACTAGAACACAAAAATCCTGTTAACACCGAGTCTTCCACACAGTGCCTTTGAAAGTTGATTGGAACGTTTATGATTTGTCCTCATGATAAATGCTAAATTAAAGCAGTGTTTTGTCTTGTGAAGTGAATCCAGTCTTATTCTCTGCACATCATAATGTATTCTGGGAATATTGTGAAACTATTTAGACAATTTATTTTAACTGCATTGGAAGCTTCTTGTTCTGTTTCCACTTGAATGACTTACTGTTTAGATCTTAACCAGAAATCTGTTCTGGATTGGCTTTTATCCCATTACATTGTTTTTGATACAGTTATCACTATCAACATATTTATCCATTTCCTCACCCTGTACTCTCCTCTATATTCCTTTTTGTATCATGTTGTTTTTATCTGGGTTTTTTTTTTCTCCCCACCCCGCCCACAGTTATTTGCAGGGGGTTTGTTGTACTTTCTCTGTTTTCTTCTTGGGGCTTGAATGAGACAATTTCCAGACGTCTCTTATGACCTCTATTATTCTATAATTCAGTCATTATCTTTTTTTGGCATAGTGATCGCCTACTAGGAGCTATACAAGGTTATGTGATCCTACAGTTTAACCAAAATGCTTTGCATCTTCCTTTATTAATTTCCTTATATTCTTCCCTTTTTCCATGTTGCCATATAGCCTTCCCTTTTATTCTTGTGAAATGAATCCATCCTGCCTTCCTGCTTCAGTTCTGATAAAGTTATGGCCTTAACTCCTGCATATCCAAATAGTTTTCTGTAGCCCATCCTTACTTTTCTATTCTTACCTCTTTCTTGAGCACTTTTTTTGACAAGTTCCCTACAGTGAGTTTTGCTATGTATTTTTAAAATACAGAATTTGTAGATTTGTAGTTTTGGTTTATTTAAATACTTAAAATTTATTTTCCTGGCTGCCATTATTTCTGCAAAATGTTTATATTGTCATCTGTCCGTCTTCTGTTTGTTTCTGGCATCTCATCAGGACAAGTATAAAAGTCTCTTTAGAAAATGAGAGACATGTAGACAGGTGTTGGTGGAATCCACAGGTACATGTATGACATGGTGCAAGCAATGTCTTTTATGTTGTCTAAAGAAAGCTATATTATGCAGAATTTATTACTGTTTTATAAAATGAGTTATTGTATTCAGCATTTAAAAAGCTAAATTTCTAATTGAGTGTCCATAAGATACTCCAAAATCTTGGTAGAATATCAAACTCCATAAAGACAGGAGTGTAAAATATGTCAGATAAGAGAAATTCTATGTATTTTAAGAAGAATTCTCTGACCACATTTTTTTTTTTAATATCATCTGTTTATCTATGATCTTCCTCACAAAAATCTTTTATAGGTGTTTCTGGTGTTTAACTTTTAGGTTTAAGGTTTTTTCATCAGGAACAAAAATTAATGAATCATAGACCCTTTAGTATTCAGGTTGAGTTCCCTAACATTTTTTTTTTTTCTCCTGGATTTAAAACAGCCCAAATTTTTTACATCTTTTAGGTAGACTATTATTATTTTCTGTTACTGTAGTCTGTTCATACCTCAAAAAATTACAAAAATTTTATTCCATATGGTCAGTCAAATATGACCTAGATGATACCAAAAGATTCCACTCAGTTTCGGACTCAAAGTCCAAGTGGAAACCTGTGACAAGTGTTGTCCCTCAAGGGTCAGTATTGGGACAGGTG